GTGAAGTCTGTAAACTAGACTTGTGAAGTAATGAATAACTTGCATGAGGAGACTTTTATATAGCAAACGTGCTCCATCTACTGGCACAACTCCTAATGAACAGTTTACACGTTATATAAAAATTTTACTGGTGAAATCATTTTCATCAATTTACATTTTTTTTAGTTAAGGCGTAGTAGAAAGTTTTGGCAGATAAGTCACACAATTAAACAGAAACGCCAATATTCCTGTGTAGTAAAAAGCAGGTTGCGAAGGTTTAACAAATAGCTTTGCCTGATTGCTCCGGGTAGATATCTGTCCACTGACCACCATTTAACTCTAAAAACTTCTAAGAAAATAAGGAGTCAATAGTACAAACTGGAGGTAAGATTTCTGATAGTGCTCTGTAAAGTACAATAAAAAAAAGCAATATACAAAGAGTCTTTTTGATTACATTAAAAAAAAAAAAATAATAATAATATCAAATATATCAGCTACCGATTCGAACGTAAAGATCATTTTCAAAGCGATACTTCAGAGTTTTTTTTTTTTTTTTTTTTAAACAACAAACATGTTATACTTACCTGCTTTGTGCAATGGTTTTGCACAAAGCAGCCTCAATCCTCCTCTCTTCAGGTCCCTTCCTGGCTTCTGCCTCCTGGAGGAGAGCAGGCAGTGTTCTGAGCACAGCAGGAGAACTGACCACACTGCGTTTTCATGCCTAGTGTGGTCCATTTTTAATAGGAAAGCAGAAGGACTGGCAGGAACACCAGGGATTTTACACAAAGGAAACCGTACACAGAGAATGGGATACTTTTTCATACAAATATATGGTACAACAGACATATCAGGAATATAAAATGTTGGATTTACATATTCTTTAATGCACATACATAAAAAAACTGTAGCTGCTGACTTTTAATAAAAAGGACACTCACCTGTCCCAGGATCCAACAATGTCCTGACCCTACCAGTTTCTTCACCTGGCTTCAGTCCCTGGCACCAGCATAGTGACTGTGGGCATCCGGCTGTGACTGCTATCTGCTTCGCAGCCATATACTCATTGCGCATGCGCGAGCCGTGCTGCACTATTTGAATGGTCTCACAGCTTTCTGGGACCTGTAACATGTGTAATGTCCCAAAATGTGTAGAAAAGGAGGACGAGCAGGAGGAGGAAGGGGAACTTCGGATTTAATGTACGGTATTATGTATTAGGGCAGCCAGTTCATCAAGAATAGGCTGAAAACGAATGCCAATAGAAGAGGAAAACTTTTTTTTTTTTTCTTTAACCGCTTCCATACCTGGCACTTTTACCCCCTTCCTGCCCAGGCCATTTTTCAGGTTTCAGCGCTCTCACACTTTGAATGACAATTGTGCAGTCATACAACACTGTACCCAAAACGTAAATTTTATCATTTTCTTCACACAACTAGAGCCTTCTTTTGGTGGTATTTAATCAACACTGGGGTTTTTATGTTTTGCTAAATTAACATCAAAGACCGAAAATTTTGAAAAAAAAAAAAAACCACGTTTTTTTTGTTATAAAAGTTTGCAAATAAATAATTGTTCTTCATAAATTTAGGCCCAGATGTATTCTACTACATTTCTTTGGTGAAAATAACCCAAATTAGTATTTATTATTTAGTTTGTAGGAAAGTTATAGAGTTCACAAACTATGGGATATATCTGAAAATTGATCAATCCTGAAGTACTGACAGCCAATCTAATTTCTTGAGGTCCAAGAATGTCAGAACAGTACAGATATCCCCCAAATGACCCCTTTTTGCAGAGTAGGCAGCCCGACGTACTTCATAAGAGGCATGGCGAGTTTTTTGAAGTTGTAATTTTTTTGTAAATTTTTCGGAAAATGTTAATTATTCTCGCTATTTTTTTTCTTTACATACTGTCACCAGTGCAGTACAGCATCATCATATAACTGGCATGGCGGTGATCAGGGACACTGACTGGTGACAGTACAACAAAAAAAAAGGTTTTCATTTTTTATTAAATTGTCTTCTCTTAAGATTTTTTTTTTTCATATTTTACTATGACCAAAGTAGTATAATGTTACCATAGTAACATTGTACTACTTTGGGGAAGTGATCAGTATTTTTTTTTACACAATTTGCTTATAGCAAAGAATTACTTTGCTATAAGCAAGCATTTACCTGAATGACATCAATTCATTAAGGTTTTTTTTTTGTGCTCAGCTGTGATTTGGCCACGGCTAATCACGACACAGCTGAGCTGTCATTGGCCCAGCTTGTGCATGTGATCGCTGTGACCATTCACAGCTAGAGACACTTGTATACAATGGATGGCATGAAAGGAAGCCATCCATTGTATATAACTGTCATGTGACCTGCTGTAATTGTTCACAGCAGGTCACATGGTACTGGCAATGGGGCCGGGGCCGGTACTTAGATCTGTCATCGGCCGTGTCCAAGGTACAGGGCCGGTGACAGATCGCGCCGCAGAGAGCACTGCGCATGCCTGAAAGGACGCCATATGGTGTCCACCCAGAGGGACGAGCTATAGCCAGATGGCGGCCGAGCGGCAACTGGTTAATGCAGTACGCCACAATGCACCAATTGACAGTGCCATTGCTTTACTGTGTGTTGAGGTAATGCATTAAAAAAAAGAATATTACTGCAATGAATAGATCTGAAGACTAACTATACTTTCAATATTAACACTGCACCATGACTCAAACTCCCAGCACCTCTGCCACTGCACCCCCAAACTGCAACCAGTCGATAACACTGCAAAAACACACACTTATTCACTCGCAGTCACCCCACTGAAATGCATTTCTATATACAGCCCATTCAAAGAATGGGCATACTTTTGTCAGTATTAATACAAGGCTCAAAAAAATTAAAAAGAACACTTTTCAATCAGAGTATAGCATCAAGTCAATTAAGCTCCCGGGATAGTGATCTGGTCAGTTAAGTAGCAGAGGGGGTTGTTGATCAGTTTTAGCTGCTTTGGTGTTAATTAAATTAACGAAAGGTGCACTAGATGGGCAACAATGAGACCATCCCCAAAAACAGGAATGGTTTTACAGTGGAAGCCATGGACTTTTTATCCCTACACATCTTTTCTGACTGTTTTTCACTAGTTTAGAATTTGGTTAGGGTCAGTGTCACTACTGGTAGCATGAGGCAATACCTGGACCCTACAGAGGTTGCACAGGCAGTCCAACTCCTCCAGGATGGCACATCAATATGTACCATTGCCAGAAGGTTTGCTGTGTCTCCCAGCACAGTCTCAGGAGCATGGAGGAGATTCCAGGAGACAGGCAGTTACTTTAGAAGAGCTGGACAGGGCCATAGAAGGTCCTTAACCCATCAACAGGACTGGTATCTGCTCCTTTGTGCAAAGAGGAACAGGATGAGCACTGCCAGAGCCCTACAAAATTATCTCCAGTAGGCCACTGGAGTGAATGTCTCTGACCAAACAATCAGAAACAGACTTCACGAGGGTGGCCTGATGGCCCAACATCCTCTAGTGGACCCTGTGCTCACTGCCCGGCACCATAGAGCTTGATTGGCATTTGCCATTAAACACAAGAATTGGCAGGTCTGCCACTGGCACCCTGTGCTTTTCACAGATGAGAGCAGGTTCACCCTGAGCGAGAGTATGCAGGCAGCTCCTGGGAGGATGAAGAAAATGATACCACTGAATGGTCCCCATGCTCGCCTGACCTAAATCAAATAGAACACCTCTGGGATATCATGTTTCAGTCCATCAGATGCCACCAGGTTGCACCTCAGACTGTCCTGGAGCTCAGTGATGCCCTGGTCCAGATCTGAGAGGAAATACCCCAGGACACCATCCGTCATCTCATTAGCAGCATGCCCCGATGTGGTTAGACATGCATACAAGCACGTGGGGGCATACAAACTATTGAGTACCATTTTGAGTTGCTGCAATGAAGTTTCAGAAAAATGGACTAGCCTGCTGCATCATTTTTTCACTTTGATTTTAGGGGTGTCGTTGAATTCAGTCCTCTGTAGGTTGATAATTTTCATTTCCATCAAACGATGGGGCATCTTTGCATTCCTAAAACATTACCCAGTCCATATGAGTATAGATATCCAGCATGGTATTTTTCCCCATTGAGATCGGATGTGTTTTCAAAGTGTTCCTTTAATTTTTTTGAGCAGTGTATATTCCACCCATTCACTCTCTATTTCATCAGTTGTACAAAGTGAATATTTTATTAAATTGTTTTCTATACATTTATACCATCATATTTATTACACAATCATACAGATTTGATATTATGGTATTTTATTGCTAGTTATTATCAGGTTAGCAATTTTTTACCATTTATATAAATTGATATTCTGCTTTGTACTAATTTTGACTTGGACATAACACTTTCAATATCAATTTTTTTTCCATACTGGTTTAAGCTGCATATTTACATTTGTTAAATTTTTTTTTCTTTTATTAAACTAATTATGCAATAATATACTGGCATAAAAACTGTACACCATTACCGTATTATTTAAAGTGATATTTTTTTTTTTTGCATTAAAAAATAAAACCCATCCCATTTCTCCATCCTCCCCCTTCCCAATGTGATAGGGGAGAATAGATCCAGCAAAGTGTACAGCTGCATCTCTTCTACCCTCTCCCTCTTTACAAAAGGACTCGAACAGCAGCAGGAGCCATTGGCTCTTGCTGCTGTCAATCAAATGCAGCAAGGAGGAAGTGGGGACAGTGCTAAGACCCACTGTGTGAGTCTATGGAGCATGGCTAAAAAAAGACACACAGCTCGGCTTATTATGGTGACACACAAAGAAGAGACAAGGAGGAGCCAAGATCGCCAGCGGGGGACCTGAGAAGAGGATGATTGGTGTTGCTCTGAACAATACCACTGCACAGAGCAGGTAAGTACAACATGTTTGTTATTTTAATAAAAAAAAAAAAAAAAAAAAAAAAAAAAATAGACTTTAGTAACACTTTTAATATATATGTTCTCACCATATAGGATATTAAAAGTCTCTTACCCTAAAGTTGACTCTGTTTCGGACTCGCTGTGCCAGTGCTGAATTTATTGCCTTGTCAAACTGAAGCAGAACTTGTAGTGCCAGCTGAGGGTTAATCTGCTGAGACTGTAGGGAAGAAAAAACAAAAAAAATAAAAAAAAAAAAAAACAAAAACAAAAAACATGATTATGGAATGTGTGCCTTTTTGTTAAAGCAAACAAGGATGTAAGATCCTAGATCAGCTTTTCTTTACTTAAAAGCTGACAGGTCTACTTTAAAAGGCTAGGTTCAGAGGGAACATGTTACTCCCATATTTAACCACTTGCCCTCCAGAAGATTTACCCCCCTTCCTGACTATGCCATTTTTTGCGATACGGCGCTGCATTACTAAAACTGACAATTGCGCAGTTATGCAACTCTGCACCCAAAATAAATGTATGTCCTTTTTTTACCCACAAATAGAGCTTTCTTTCAGGGGTATTTCATCACCTGTGCGGTTTTTATTTTTTGCGCTATAAACAAAACAAGACTGACAATTTAAAAAAAAAAAAACAATATTTTTTACTTTTTGCTATTAAAAACATGTCCAGTGAAAAAATTTTAAAAAATAACTTTCGTCAAAAATTTAGCCCAAAATGTTTTCTGCTACATGTCTTTGCTGAAAAAAAAGATCCCAATACGTATAAATTAATTGGTTTACATGAAAGTTATAGCTTTTGCAAATGGTGGTATATATACACCAGATTTTCTTCTTACTAGTAATGGCACCGATCAGCAACTTAGTTTGGGACTGCGGCGGGCATTCTGACACTGGCGGGGAACTGACTTGGTGTCACTGACATCCCCAGTGACACCAATACAGTGATCAGTGCTAATAAAAAGCAATTATACTGTAGTAATGGCACTAGAAAGGAAGGGGTTAACATGTGGGGCAATCAAATGGTTAGCTGTGTGACGTTTTACTATTGGGCTGTGTCTGTGCGCACGTTTTACAACAAGCACACTGCTTTGTATGGCTCTGCTATGCAGAGCCATACAATGCAGTGTGCAGGAGCTGACGGGGAGAAATCTGTATGGTCTACATACAGGTCTCTCCCCCATCAGATATCCTTGGGTGTCAGAGGGGAATCACCGGTCGGGACCCGATGATTGACAGCCGAGGTCGTGAATGGCAGCGCACCCCCTACCCAGAACGGCAAAATCTATAATTATATATAATATATATATACAGACACAAACACATATACATACATACACACATTATTTTGCACACCCGTGCCATCCTGTAGTAGTTTTTCTGCTATAGGACAGCACGGAAGCGGTTAAGGTGTAACATGTGCCCAAGCACCCCTGCTCCTCCGTGACAGCGTGCAAAGGTTGCTCTCACCCATAATAGAAAATATGGCAGTGTGACAAGAGCAACACTACCTGCAAAAAGTGGTTAGTTGAAAATCCAAGCGGAGTAATTTAACTGCATTCAATAGCTACAAAAATATTTTATTTGATCCCATGGATCATAAAGAGGTTGGACATAGACATGGTGAACAAATCAAAATAAAATTACAAAGTTAAAAGCATTCGGCGTCTTCAAATCTGGATAATTATCGGCAAGCAGGAATCCACATAAGGCAATAGGGTTCCCTAACTACGTGATCATAGGTTTCCATATGTTTCTGCATTGTATCTGGATAAGGAGAAAATTCTTCAAAGATATTCTCTGGTAAGCACCACAATAAGCGGAATGACTTCCTATAATGGAAACCAAAAAAGGATCATAGTAGTGGAAACATAAAAATAATGTATGCACAAGTCCTATACTAGAACAAGGAAACCAAACAAAATAGTAAACTTATGATTCCATTACCTTCTCATGAGCTTGACTGTCATGACAAAATGGTGAATGCAAGGCCTTCCTGGGTAACCACCCCAAGTGGAAATGAATCCACAATAGCAAGTGATTCTGAGAATGTATAAACATAAATCATGAATATCAAACAAAATACCTGAATGGAGTAAATATAGAGGTAAAAAGTATATATTACCATAAGTTGGATCAAGGAGACTTCACCTCACTTGAAATGAGATCAGGTCTTTGTGTTTCCAATAATGAATATGGGGGTGGAAAGCCAGGTGGTCTTAGTATATAAATTCCAGGCTGATTGTAACAGGCAGAATATACCTGAATATATGTACCCAATTTAGGGTTTCCAAAAATTGCTCTTACTGAGAAATGATGCGGTTCCTTATAGATATATGAGCCTACGATCACATACCACAGCACGTATGTAGCATAATGTAAACATATTTCTCCAATAGGAGTTCAAAAATTCCCCAAAAACAGGGCTGATGGGGGCACACGGTTCCCAGTATGTGGAGTATACTTCCCGTATATAAATAGCAAATAGAGGCCATCTAAGCCAAACAAGCTAATAACTTGCCACCGGTGGAAGTGAGCTGTGACTCTTAAGTCGCCGTGTGCGGGCTGCTTAGGATGATAGCCTCATCGTAGTCTTTAATGCCTCGTGCCTTTCCAATATGGAACTGAAGCAAACCGCTTCTTCCCTCCTCGTGGGCACCGCACCCTATGAAGACGCCGAGCGTAATGATATCATCACGTTGATGCGTTTCATCCGCCAATCACCGCAGACTTCGTCAGAACTGGGAGGGGACTTCTCTTCCATTGCCTTATATAGTGCCCTAATTGCATACAGAGTTCTTTGTCGCCCTCTTGTGTTGAAAAACTATCACTACATTAAAAAATCCAAAATCACAGAGAAACATATACTAAATGGTGACATTACAAGAAAAAGCCTTATTCAAATGAAGAAATCATCTTGAAAAATGTCACCATTTAGTATATGTTTCTCTGTGATTTTGGATGATCGCATTGATTGGCGGATGAAACGCATCAACGTGATGACATCATTACGCTCGGCGTCTTTTCATAGGGTGCGGTGCCCACGAGGAGGGAAGAAGCGGTTTGCTTCAGTTCCATATTGGAAAGGCACGAGGCATTAAAGATTACGATGAGGCTATCATCCTAAGCAGCCCGCACACGGCGACTTAAGAGTCACAGCTCACTTCCACCGGTGGCAAGTTATTAGCTTGTTTGGCTTAGATGGCCTCTATTTGCTATTTATATATGGGAAGTATACTCCACATACTGGGAACCGTGTGCCCATCAGCCCTGTTTTTGGGGAATTTTTGAACTCCTATTGGAGAAATATGTTTACATTATGCTACATACGTGCTGTGGTATGTGATAGTAGGCTCATATATCTATAAGGAACCGCATCATTTCTCAGTAAGAGCAATTTTTGGAAACCCTAAATTGGGTACATATATTCAGTATATTCTATATTCTGCCTGTTACAATCAGCCTGGATTTTATATACTAAGACCACCTGGCTTTCCACCCCCATATTCATTATTGGAAACACAAAGACCTGATCTCATTTCAAGTGAGGTGAAGTCTCCTTGATCCAACTTATGGTAATATATACTTTTTACCTCTATATTTACTCCATTCAGGTATTTTGTTTGATATTCATGATTTATGTTTATACATTCTCAGAATCACTTGCTATTGTGGATTCATTTCCACTTGGGGTGGTTACCCAGGAAGGCCTTGCATTCACCATTTTGTCATGACAGTCAAGCTCATGAGAAGGTAATGGAATCATTAGTTTACTATTTTGTTTGATTGCCTTGTTCTAGTATAGGACTTGTGCATACATTATTTTTATGTTTCCACTACTATGATCCTTTTTTGGTTTCCATTATAGGAAGTCATTCCGCTTATTGTGGTGCTTACCAGAGAATATCTTTGAAGAATTTTCTCCTTATCCAGATACAATGCAGAAACATATGGAAACCTATGATCACGTAGTTAGGGAACCCCATTGCCTTATGTGGATTCCTGCTTGCCGATAATTATCCAGATTTGAAGACGCCGAATGCTTTTAACTTTGTAATTTTATTTTGATTTGTTCACCATGTCTATGTCCAACCTCTTTATGATCCATGGGATCAAATAAAATATTTTTGTAGCTATTGAATGCAGTTACATTACTCCGCTTGGATTTTCAACTAACCACTTTTTGCAGGTAGTGTTGCTCTTGTCACACTGCCATATTTTCTATTATGTACTTTGGGTTTATAAATCCACATTTATACTATAAGTGAGACGGAGATATTATTTTGACACGGATGTACGTGTCAGATTAGGTGGCTTTCTTCTCTTTGTTTGCTCTCACCCATAGCTGCTCTCACATTTAAAAATCGAAGCAGCTGTGCTTGACTGCGCTCACACAACCACATCATTCATTCACAGATATCTGTGAATGAATTCAACTACAAGTCCCATCCACCACAGTGGCAGGTGGGACATTTAGTTCTCAATGGACTAAGAGTGCAATTTTACTCCACGGACACTTCTTTCAGTTTTCTAACTAAAAGCCGTACAGGCAGAGAGCTGGAGGAAGAGTGTGCAGCGCGATCCTGCAGTGATATTGTGTTTGCATTAAAAGGGTTAATTTGCTTATGCATGAATTTGTCCTGATATAGATACACACAAACACATGATGTTTGTCCTAAACCTTATTTTTTTTACTTAGGGGCGTGTGTGATGCCAGACTGTAAAATCGTTGAAGAAAACCCTGGGGGGGGGGGGGGGGGGGGGGGTGGACACACAAAAAAAAAAAAAACACACCTTTCTTCCCAGCTGGAAAGGGCAGGACAGTTATGCATTACATCTATAGCGTAGATACAAAGATATGACAACAGATCCAATAGGAGTAGAAACAGACCCCTTACACACTGTCTACCAAACTGCAGTCACCAATGAGGTCATGGATATGAACACTTCTGTAGGTGTTCACCTTTACACCTACAAAAGTCAAAGGGCCAGGCCTGCAGTTTACTGCTTTTTCTTTGGCAATGCTTCTTAGGATTTGTTCACACCAGCAGCTGCCTTATGGTGGCCCTACACTATACAATCAGTTTGTACAATCTTCTTAGATCTACCATCAACTATGTAGTGCAGAGGCCTGGCTGATTTGATACCATTTGATTAAAGGTTAATCAAATCAGCCATAATACATAATTTTGGCAACTCTAAAACATAT